CTGAGATACAACTTGGTCTCAGTTAAAAACTCTGTAGCTTTGGAAATTTCAGCAATTTATTTTGCCACAGAACACATTTAGTCACAAATTAGAGTGTTGGAAGTAGATAACAGAGCCATAAGCTTCCAGTAAGAGTTTTAGAAAAAAGCAGAATTTTCTCTCTGCTGTGGGTCACTCCTCTATCTGCAGTTTGTCTACCTTTCATTTCTTGACTATATGGTAAGCCATGCTACACTACAAGGAATAGCAAAGATCATATGTGTGCACACAGATGTCAAACTCTATGTAATCAAAGATTTATAGGCTAAATGCAGATAAAACCTTCCTGACACCAGAGGCTGATTATCTGTCTCATGTCAAATATGAAACTCAAGGTCCAGAAATACCAACATTCTACAATATTTCTCAACATTTAGAGGTAGATAAATTTTCTGGTTCTCAAAATTCCTGATATTTCCTCTGGAGACACAAGCAGAACCACTGAGTAGTGTCAGCATATTTCTCACAGAAGCCCAAACTCATGTCACAAACTCTCACTTCTGCATTCATGAGGCCTGGCCCAGCAGAGACAGCAGTATGGCAGGGCTCTAACACAACAGAAACTGAGAGGGGCTGATATCTAATACCATCTAGGTTACACCAGTCATGAAGGATATGTGAGACCCAGAGGCCCAATCTCTTCCAGCTCCAGCACAGACATGAAGGAAACTCTCATGACCATGTCCTAAAACAAAACTTTCTGATCTTTCTGGTGGGTCTGTCTGAATGGCTCCTGATGAAGATACTGCATGATTGTGAGACATCTGAATATTCATTAGAGAGGACATCAAAGCACTCTCATTCCCTTCTTGCATCTGATCTAAGAGATGTTGTCATTCTTTTCTTTTCTTTCAGACAGATTGAATGGGTATTTAATGAGCCCATCCAAAGCTGAACAGCTTCAGTGGGACAGAGAAAGCAAGACTTGCTCAAAAAGAGCTTACAGTCTGGTGGCTTCCAGTACCCTCCCGGGAGATATCAGTTCAAATTCCTTCAGTGAGATAAGAGACTTCAACCTTGGTCTTTCATACCCCAAGGAAGCAATCTTAAATATTAATGCTTTTTATTAACTGACGTGGCACCATTTCCTCTTGCGTGTGAGAAAATCCAACCTCATTAAAGCACTTAACCTTGGGAGAGTATTAGGGTGACACAAGTGAAAGGAAGCACCATATTCCAACAGCTGTCAGGACACTTAACTCTCTGTCACATTCCCTACCAGCTACCACTGGCATGCCAGGTTGGATGAATCTCATTTTAGGTGGCATTCCTGGCTTTACAGGACCTTGGTGCCTGACTCAGGGATGCAGATTCCGCTGGAGGACAAAGAGGTCACAAAAGAAACGTTACTATTCTGAATCCAAATATCCTTGGAGGTCCTAGCAATGGTTATCATAGAAGGACACCATCCATCAAGTGACTCTCAGGTCATACACTGCCCTCAGTTAAGGACATGATTTATTTCTCCAGAACTCCATGGAAGAACTTCCATGGACTTCACTAGGAAGTGGGTGTTTTTCCAGTGCCCCTAATTCCATCGTGGTGTTTAAGCACTCTGGTTCACTAGGTCTATGATGTAGAGTGCTTACACGCCAAATGGAGCATAGTTTATCTCAGTCCTCATAAAACTCTACTGCAAAAAAGAAATGGAAGCTATTAAATAATTCAAGGGTGTCATAGCCATCAGCTGGCTGAATACCTGTGAAACAGAATGTGCTTACAGAATATGAGACTAAACCTTGTCTTACTCAGAAGCACTGCTAAGAAAAAAAAAAAATAAACACATAGCAAGACTTCTTTTTCTCATCCTGGATATCTTTTAATAACAAAAACAGTGTGACCACAGCACTTCATATCCAAGTAAGGATGAATGTGATTTCAAATCCATACCACCTTTTCAAGCTCTGGATGTAAAATATGTGTAAGGTTGCAGTTGGAGCAACAAAGTGATATACTGTTGGGACAACAAAATAACTGTTACATCTAATTCTCAAAATTCGCTTTAAGTTTAAACAACCACAACTAGCACTTCAAAGATTAATAGAAGTCACTTGCTCCATAGATGTCCCACAGTCTCCAAGAGATGCAGTCTCCTCTTTATACATCAATGGACTTTATGGCCAAGCAGCTTTGGCTTCCCAGAGAGCCCTCCAGCATGGCAGGTATTTTTGCCTTAAAATGGGCTATCAAAGTTTCAGGCATATCAAATACTGCACAAGCCTTATTAAGACCCATCAGAACAGTATTTTTGTCAGGAACCTGTAGATGTGTTGCTGAATTCAACAATAGATTGAGAGTATATGGACGTGAAATTCAGCTGTGAAAATGTTGGAGGGCTCTTGTAGAGCTGAGCGAGACAGATCTCACATAGATTGAACCCTGCTTCCTTGCAGTCTTTGGAGAGACTCAGAGAAGGGAGCTGCTGGAACGAGTCCACTCCAGAAGGAAAGCTGTTTTGTCTGGGGTGGATCTTTCTCTCCAAAAGAGAATTTACAAAGAAGAAATACTTCTGCAATCTGAACAAGCAAACGACTGGAACCTGGGAGTGACCCCAGGAAGGAATTGTACCTAACAGTGTGGGCTTTGCTGTTGACTTCAGTATGTGTGCAAGCACGGCTGCTTTTAGGCTTAGCAATTAAGCATGAAGAAGTTTTAACCATCATAATTTTAGGCATTAGGCAAAGTGATATATAGGCACTAGGCAAAGTGATATAGGTAGATTCTTTGTGGATTTTCCACCCAATTCCTTACCTATGTGTACAGTAAGCCATTATGGATGTGGTTTACAATACAAAAACACTCACCAAAGGCTTCCTACCCTAGAAAACAGTGGATTGAACAGACAGTATGGATTCCATGGAGCAGTCATGGCAAGGAAGCTCAATGAGATCAAATATCAAAAGCAGCAGACAAGGTGCAGAAAATAAAGCACTGAGGTGAAATGAAGCAGACAAGAAAAAGAGAAAGCATGATAGAGAGCTGCAAATCTTTGTGGATGTGCATGAACACACAAGTGACTGCCTGGGCCATACTGAGTTTCCACTCATGCACAGACACATCATTTCACACACTGCAGAAGATTCAGAATGAAACTTGGCCTTGAACACAGGGCTGCCAAACATTTTAATGAAGAAGTATAACTGGTCCAGAGACAGTAAGATACATTGCTGAGACAAAGCTTCCAATGGAAGTGGGAGAACATCAAAAAATCACTTCTATGTTCAGTTTAGCTCCTCGTTGTAGGATACTCTCACACATGCCCATCTTTAATTAGTGAAGCATTTTCACAATGCTCTGACTATGAAGCAGGGCTCTCTTTTGTTCAACAGCAGCTATAGAGGAGAGGAACTGCAGGGGGAAACACGCAGTGCCCAGAAATCACATCTACATTCAATACATTTTGGACATTTGCTCAGCTAGCCTTGATCCAGCCCTGCCACACAGGGTACATCTAGTTTGGTGGGATGTGAAAGAAATGTGCACTGTTTGAAAACACACTGGGATGTGTGCAAACCAAAGTGCACGCGTGTCAGGGCTGGGTGTTTGGGAGGTTCATTTCAAAAATGCTCCCATCGACATAGCCACCAGCTGAATCCAAAACGAGAAGGTCCTGATCAGGCTGTCACTGCTGCAATGGCTTGCAGTGCCCCACCATCCCAAGCAGTGCTCATCTCCCCAGCCCCAGATGGAGCAATTCTTCTCACCCCAAAGGGCAGGTCTGTATTTGAAACCACAGAGATGTAGAATCTGATGGAAATTGTATTCTTTGAGCCTGTGGGCAGTGCCCAGGGCCCTGGTAACACAACAATTGTTCCTTCATTTGCCGCTATTTAGTGGATACTCAGAACAGCAGTTGCAGTTGGGCTTATAAATTACAAAACAACAGACAAAAGGAATAAATGAGACAAAATTAAAGACATTACTCCTACATCCCATAAATTATCTCTGTAGTCTATTTTAACAGCGTGAATTTACCAGTGACTGTTAAAATAGTATAAAAAATAAACCCACCTAGCACACTAACTAGGCATTAATGAAAAAGCAAAATATTGTTTTGTGTTCTCCAAAACACAGAAAGCAAAATATTCCCACCAGATCTCATAATGCCTTTCCAGGGAGAAAGAATCATAATCTTCTATATTGAAAAAGAGACTGAGCGCTTGGAGTCGGAAAGAAAATAAATTAATAAACCCAATTACACACTCCGCGCATGGAGGAATAGAAGGCGTTAAGTCAGCCCAGGAGAACCGCGCGCTTTGATTGTGCTCACTTAACAACTTCCCTGTCACCGTGCGCGGCTCCGGGGAGGAACCTCCTGGCGCTCCCCCGGGGCAGCTCCGCGCCTCTGCGCGGGCACCGCCGCACACCGCGGCTCCTCTTCGCCTCTCGGCGCCGTCCCGGGCAAACTCCGGCTGCGGAGCCTCCCCCCGAACACACCGGCGGGCTGGGCTGCCGTGGCACCGCTCCCTTAAAGGCGCCGCGCCTGTGCGAGTTCGGGCTGAGCGCGCTGCCCGCGCAGAGCTGCGCAGCGGCGGCGCCGGCAGCCCTGCGCCCGACCTCCGCCTGCCACCAGCCTCGGCGGGGAGCGAAGCGCTTGGCATGTAGGAGCGAAGAGAGGGAAAAGGTGCGGGGCCGAGGGAGGTGAGGGGGAGGAAGCCGGGGGGTGGGGTGAGAAGGAAGGAAGAAAAAAAAAAAAAAAAAGAGAAAAGAAAAAAGAAAAGAAGATCTGCCTCTTTAAATGCTGGGGGCTGAGCGCTTGCCGGGGCGTCCGTGGCGGATCCAGCTTCCCTCCCTCCCCTCGGCCGTGCCTCTCCGGCGCTCATGCCCAGCCGCGGAGCCGGCGGCGCGGCGCTCGGGCGCTGCCGCTGCGCGGGGAGCAGCAGCCGCGCCGGGCCGGGGCCATNNGCTCGCCCTGAGCCGCTCCCGGCGCCGCGCAGCCGCCGGCCCCGTGGGGTAAGTTCGCGGCCGCCCGGTGCCGGGGGAGGGCGGGGAAGGCGCACCTGGCCGGCGGCCCGGCGCGGCTCACCTGGCCGGCGGAGGGGTGCGCTCTCTGCCGTCCCCAACTCGGACCTCCCCACCTCCCCAGGCGCTCGCAGCCCCTCTCTAACAGGTGGCTCGGTGCCTGCCCCGCTCCCCGGCGGCTCCTGCGCCTCTCTCCTTCTCCTCGCCGCCGCCTAACAGGTGGTGGTGCCGCCGCCGCGCCTTCCTCCGTCCAGGTAGGGAAGTCTCGTGTCCCCCTTCCCCCCGTCCCCGACGGGCTCCCGCAGCCCCGGGGCGCTGCTAGAGACTGCGCTGAGCGGGGAGAGCCGGGACGCCTGTGGAGGGGGAGCCGCGCTTATGCCCGCGCTGCTTCTCTGGCAGCCGCTCACCCGCCCTCATGGCCCCGCCGTGTGTCTGTCTTTGCAGCGGGCATGGGGAACCAGGTGGAGAAGCTGACCCATCTCAACTACAGGGAAGTTCCTACGGCCGACCCGACAGGTATGGACAGAGATGAAGGGCCCAGGATCGGGGTCTCCTACATCTTTTCGAATGACGATGATGAGCTGGAGCAGCAGCAGGATTCGGTGCATGACCTGGGGGGTGAGAACCCTGCCCTGCAGCCCTACGATCCCCAGCTGCACGAGGTGGAGTGCTCAGTCTATTACCGGGATGAGTGTATTTACCAGAAGAGCTTTTCAGAGGAGGACACTCAGCTAGAGGAGGGTGATGAAGGAGGTGGGGGGCATCTGAGCACCTACACCCCGGAGAACCTGCTGAATAGGTGTAAGCCAGGTGACCTGGTGGAGTTCGTGTGCCAAGCCCAGTATCCGCACTGGGTGGTCTATGTGGGGGATTTCCAAGTTGTGCACCTCCATCGGCTGGAGGTGGTGAACAGCTTCCTCACCGACGCCAGCCAGGGCAGACGCGGCCGCATTGCCAACCAGCTGTACCGCTACAAACCCCTCAGCCCGGCCGCGGTGGTGCGCAATGCCCTGGAGCAGGTGGGTTGCAAGGATCGGGACCTGAGCTGGAGAAACTCGGAGTGTTTTGCTGCCTGGTGCCGATACGGCAAGCGAGAGTTTAAAATCGGCGGGGAGCTGCGCATAGGCAAGCAGCCCTACCGATTGCAGATCCGGCTGGGGGACAAGCGCAGCCACACGCTGGAGTTTCAGAGCCTGGAGGATCTGATCATGGAGAAGAGGAGAAATGACCAGATTGGTAGGGCTGCTGTGATCCAGGAGCTCTCCAGCCACCTGCAGGCTGCAGAGGAGGAGGAAGAGGAGGAGGAAGACCATCATCATCCAGGTGCTCAGACTGCTGTGGAGTAGCAGCCTCAGCACCACCATTCTGCTTAGCCTGGGTGATGGGGATTAAAACTGAAGGCTGCGAAATTGAGCTGTTATAAGCCCTTTGGGCTGCTTCGGTGCAGCTTCATTCCAATCACATGTGAAAGGAAGGGGGAAAGCTGCTTAAGTGTCTGTGCTTTAGTGCTTAACTCCTTCAGTGCTTGATGATAAAACCCCTGACTTATTTGTAGAGGATAAAACTCAGGGCAATTCTACCCCTCTCATACTTCTTTCCCTTCCTCTCTGCCATATTCACACATAGCCTTTTCCTCAACCATCTGCTAGTAGGCCTGACCCTACAAGATGCTAAATGCCTTTGACATCTACTTATCAGCAGAAGTTAATAGTATTTAATGCCATTAAGAAGTAGCCAACAACTTCCAGGACATGACCATGTAGCTCTGAACATGAGGATATTGTTTTTCCTTATCTGCTACTGTTTCTCTTCGGCTGTGGCTTCTGTTGGTATTGCAAGGAGCTGCTCCTCGCCTGATTGAAGGCTTTGTGGGTTTGGTAGCCAGTTCCCCAGAAGGTGTAAGGCAGAAATCTCCACTGATTTTAATGAAATGGGTTTGATGTGCCTGGTGCCTTCTTAATTGATAGGAGGTTGCAGGTGGGCTGGGGGACCTTCTCCTTTGCCATCAGCATGTGGTTTCGGGGACATAAAATATATTTGTTGCCAACAGGTGTCAGGGAAGGAAGTTTGCCAGCCCAGTTGTACTCTGCTCACTGGTGTGTGTTGGGACTCCTACAGGCAGATGCTGAGCTGTGTCAGGGCTCTTTACAGGCTGCCTTGGCTTCTCCTAAAGCAAGTGGCAGAGCTCCTGATTGTGTCTGTAATGCACACAGAGGCAGTAGAGGCAGGTTGCTTATGTGTAAGAGTATGTCTTGAGTAAGCTGTCCCTCAAGAGGGTGACCTCTTGGCTGGGTGCTTCTGGCTGGAGCGTGCCACAGGTTCTGCACCACAGTGAACACAGCTGTGATGGAAGGGAGCACAGGCTGGAAGACATTACAGGCCTGGAAGGGCTTGGGTGTTCCAAAGCAGTTTCCTCTTCATTAGGGATTTTGTGTTTCTTTTTTTTTTTTGCTAATTTCTGTGGTATGCAGCTGAGCTATAGCATTAGAGGGGAGGACATGCCTCCAAAGTTGTGCAAGTCCCTCAGGAAGGGGGAGTGCAGTGCTGCCTGCCCTGAATATTCCCTGAACTTTTATTCAGCTGTTGAACTATCTCCCACACAGGCAGCCCTGTCAGATCTTTGTCCTGGGATCTGGGGTGTATGAACGAGCACTGATTTGGAGGCAGTTTCTAATTGAAAATTCCTCCCCCTTAAAACCCAATATGATGATGTGAACTTGAAGATAAGCTTGAGTTCATTTGAGTAATGGAAACAAACAGTGTGATGTAAACTTGAAGCATAATTAATATGGTCTTCCCCGAAGCTGTTTACAGTTATACCACAAATAGCAAAGTACTCCGTGTCCTTTCCACCTCTGTGACAGGAGCAAAGTTTGTTGTTTAAGAATAGGTAGACACAAGCTTTTGATTAGTTAAGACTATATGAAGCAACTTTGCCAATTTGAGCCAAGTGGATTGTGGTGTCATGTTTCCTGCCTAAAATCTACAAGCTATGATTTGGCCTGTGAAACACAAATCCAGGGGAGAGTTTAATACCAAGCTCCTTTAGAATGCTATAGCTCAGGTGCCTACACTAAGTGTGGCTTTTTTCACCAATATGCAATTGAGTTATACTCAGGTTACTGTGGTTGTCAAGCAGATGTCTAACCTTGTTTTGAAAGCATATCTACCCATATCTGATTGTGTTAGGGTTAATATGTGGATGTCTGCACACAGGTTTTACACAACTACTAGTAACTGCTGAAAGCTGGAATGATCACTGAGACAGTCTGAAAAAGAGTGAAGGAGAGTCTGTCTGTTGTACTTCTGACTGATATGAGACAACAGATTATCTAGACCATGAGTGAATGTCTAGCTGTGGTTTCTTTCATACTGAAACCTTGTACATAACAAAGTTTATTTCACTGTGTAATATAGCTATGTAAAATAATATTTTCCTAGAGATATTTTTGGAAGTTTAAAAAAACCTCTTCATAACCTTGCATTTGAAAGTAAATTGTTATGCACGTTATTTTCCAGTTCTCTGAATGGGTTTATTTTTCATTCATGATCTAAAGTATATTCTAGGTCATAAAATATTGAAACTGCTATAAATGTCAAATATTATGTATCTACAGGGTACTAAACAGTAAACTAGTTGTGAAAATATTTTTCCTTTGTGTCTGAAACATCAGAACTATGACACTTAGCCATTTCTCTCCTTCTGAGATATCCTGAGTAGTGGGTTTTGGGGTGTATGTTTTGTTTTGTTTTAATGAAAAAGGACCAAATCTGCTTGGGAATGAAGAGCAAAGCTCAAAGCTTCTTTGACCAACTGAAATCTTTTCTTGTGCTGGTCTTGGTGCTTTTCTGTACCGGTCATGCCTTTTAGGATAAATTCCCCCACAGGCACAAGGCCTTAGCAAAGAATTCCAGAGCTTGCAGTGCTTTGCTAGGACAGAGAGTGAAGGAGGAGCTTGCCTCACAGCAGAGTTTGGCATGCATTCTGCTGTGTTATAAAACCTCTGTGCTTCTCTGGCATACAGGTGTTTGATATTTGGAATCATAAAGTTTTCCTGCAAGCTATGTTTGGGAATTTATTGTCCCCTGACATTCCATTATGTGTAAAAGTAAAAGAGGGTGGAAAGCTTGGCATATTTTAAAATTTTGTCTGAAAGAGGGCTACCTCCATACAGGGATTTCTTATTCCAGCAGATAAAGATGCAGCTGTTGAATCTTTAACAGGCAGGTCCTTTTCCCCTACTTGTTGATTAGGCAGTGTTATTTAATAGGTGCTACTGAACACCACTGCACACATTTCTAAGCAGTCTGGTTTTAAAGCCATGGACCTGTAATGACCTGGATGTGAGAACAGAAATTGCTATAGAAGCGCATCTCAACTGCTTGGTTTCTTGTCTTTGCTGTGCTTTGCTCAGTTACTGTCTGCAGAGTAAGCTGGGATTTCTGGAGCTTGATTTAAAAAAAAAAAAAAAAAGAGCTCCCAGGAAAATTGACTTTTGTGTATGTGTCTACTTCAGGAGTTTTACATGGATCACAAAAGAGAGGGGAAAGGAATACATAAAGTGCTCTTCTCTGCATCTGCTTTAACACAGAGAAATGCAGGTGTGCTCCTTCTGCAGAGCTTGTGCTTCAGCAAAGGTCTTAATTCTATATTGAGTTTAAAGTTTTGAGTAGACCGTACCTACTTGAGGCCACTTGAGAATCAGTAAGCCCATTCTTGTGCTTGAAATTAAGTGTATATTTACATTTCTTTATGAATGAGGGTCTGGAATTTCAATAGGATGTCTGTGGTGGGAGTGTGGAGCTTCTGAAGTTGCATAATCAACAGGAAAGAATAAGTAGTGCAGTGAAAGCTGTTTCTCAAAGGGCCTCTTGTCCAAACAGCTCATGGAACCCAGCCCAAACTTTGGCCTCAGTTTCCCTCTGGAAATGCAGGAGCTGCACTGATTTGGTGAGAGGTGTGTTACACAGCAGTTGTAAGCTAAGCTGGTGATCTGCAGATTCCTGTGGTATCTTTGTCTCATCATGCTTAAGCTTTCCCTTGCATTTTTAACATTTAAACTTAATATAATTTGTCCTTTGATTGTGCAAACATTAATTTATATGAATTTACTCATTTGGGTATATCTGCTCCTGTGCATATCAATATGCACATGTGAAGGCTGACAAGGCTGAACCCCAGATGTGTAAATGTAGCTCCAGCTAGGAAATGTAGATGAGCAGTCTTATTTCCCTGGAGTATTGGTGTGTTTGATGCAAATAATGCCGTGGAAAAGGCGTTGTAGTGAAACGTACAATTATCCATCGATTGAGTAATTTTAAAAACACAATTTAGACATTCACCTTCCGTGGTGATGAACAAAGACATAAACTGAAGACTATATTTTGTTATCCCTGATTCTGTGTGAATGCAAGGTATTGATTACAGCAACTCTAGAACTCCTCTGGCCAATGTGGTAGGCAGTTGCCGAGTAGAGAGGGAAAATTCCCAAATGTGATTTCAAAACCTGTATTTTCTTGCTTGGAAAAATACATTCTTCAGACTGAAGGACCCTAGACTATGGAAGTAAACTTTAAATTGTTTTGTATAAATGAAACCATAGGCAAACTCCTTTTGTTCATTTGATTTCACTATTCCACTCAGTACTATAATAGGTAATATTGTGTGATTAATCTGTTCCAGATTTTGAATGTAATGGTGGTTTTCTTTTTCTCTTCTCCTTTGGTTAAGTTTTACCAAAGGTCTGTCCTTGGGTATGTGAAGTGTGTTGTTGAGTGGTTTCCCATGTGTGCTTTTCTGACAGTTAACAGCACCAACCATAAAGCTAACAGCCATGTAGGAACAAATATTTTTTGAAAGCAAAATCTTAATTTTGTATAAGAGATCAGAGACTAGTAACTAAGTAGAGGTAGGAAATACATTGTTTCCAACCACAGTTTCTATTTGTAAGAAATCTACTATTAATTGAGTATGCTTGACTACTCTTAAAAATCAGTGTGCAGTGATAAGGCGAGGAGTATTGTATCATGGCCTTAGACTTTCAGATTAGGCTTTTTCTTTAACTGTGAATAGGAAGAAATCAGGGTGATTTTGAACACCAGTGGTTTAGATGGTTTAAATTCCTTTGCATTAATACTGGATTAAAAGCTTTCTTTAAATGCACACTTGAAATTCCTAACATTGTAACACTTCATGAAATCATCCACAATAAGAAGTGTAATCACAAATATGATTTTTTTCCACCATGAGCATTTTCTGTAAGCTGTCTTTTGTCAGTAAATGTTGAATTGTTAGTGCAAATATCTTCTTTTCCTGAGAAAGA